AAAGCGCCTAAATAATTAAAATTATTTATTTTTCTAACAGTGCTGCCATCTTGTTTATTTTTTTAAAGTGTAAAATAATTGGGTAGAATCCCATGAATTATAATTGTTGATGAAAACGCTTCATTAGTTAAAATTACATAATTTTCTGACAATGATGCCACCTCGAATATTTTTATAAAATTATAGAGAATTGTTAAAATTTCTTAAAGGAAAATTATTAGTGACAACGCTAGAATATGTAAAAATTCATATTTTCATAAAATTTGGTAGAATTTCAAAYAGAAGAATTGTTCGTGATAAAATGATATAATTTTTTTAAATTAAAATTATTATTGAGAACGATACAATTGTTAAAATTATAAATTTTTCTGACAGTATTGCCATCTAAAATATCTTTATAAAAATTAGAAAAATTTGGTAGAACAGTATGAAGGAAAATTTTTAGTGAAAGCCCTTAAATAATTACATATTTTTCTGATAGAGTTGCCAAATAGAAATTTTTGTAAATTTTGTAAAAATTGTCGGAATATTACAAAAGATAATTATTAGTGATAAAGGTGATTAAGATTAAACTTTATTTGACAGGGTTGCCACCTAGAAGATTTTATAAAATTCATAATATAATAATATAAAATTTTTAAAAATTTGTTAGAATTTTATGAAGGAAAATTATTAGAGAAAACTTTAAATAATTAATATTACATAATTTTGTTACCGGGTTACCACCATGAACATGTGCTTTAAATTAATAAAAATTTGTTGGAATTTCAAAAAAGCAAATTGCTAGTTAAAATGATTAAATTATTAAAATAATATAAATAGAGCTGCCATATGAAGATTTTTATAACTTTTCTGAAATTTTCTAAAATTAGATTAAGACTGGTATAGAAAAAAAAAAATTAAAAAATTTACATATAAATTAGGTTAAATAATTAATATTGCATATTTTTCTGACAGGGTTGCCACCATGCATATGTGTATACAATTTATAAAAATTTGGTAGAATTTCGCAAAGGCAAATAGCTAGTTAAAACGCTTAACTTATATGTATTTTTAGATAGGGTTATCATCAGATAATTCTTATATTATTCGTTTTATTTATTTAAATAATTTTCCAACAGTGTTGCCATCTAGAAAAGTCGTATATTATTATTTCTAAAAATTGGTAGAATTTCATACAAGAAMATTTTTGGAGAAAACGTTTAAGCCAATAAATTATTTTAATTTTTTTTACAAGGTTGCCACCTATGTATATATAAAATATTTCAAATAAATGGTATGGTAGATATTTTTTCGATTTATGACCTCAAATAATTTTATTTATTATAAAATATCAATTGTCTAAAAAATGCATACTCACATATAGGGTCTCCGCCTACATTTAATGCACTGAAGGACTGGAAAGTTCTTTTTTATAAATTTTATTTTGAATTGAATTTTTACGAATCTGTCAATAGTATTTGAATTGATCGCTAAAGAGCCAAAGCTATTTGCTTGCTTGGTCAAAGTGCATATCAATTTCCTAGTAAGCACTCTTGTAGTCATAAAGCCTTTACCCCTGTTCGCTAACCTTTCAATGGGGTGCAACGATTGGCATTAAAAAATTGACACCGTTAGGGTGAAAATGTCAACGTGACAGTTGGTCAAACGTAACAGCAGGTAGAAAAATGTAAATGCGCGAATATTTAGATACCCAGTAGGAAAAGTTCATCTTCTACTGCAAAAATCCGACGGCATATTGCAAAATATAGCAAATTATTTCTAGAAAACAAAGAAATAAATAATTTTTAAAGATATTTAAAAATAAAATTGATGTTAATACAGTTTTGTCATTAACTAAATTCACTTCGACTTGAATTTTTCTCAGCAGCTTCAACACTCAACTACTGCCAGCGGAAAATGTGCGCAAATAAATTTCCAAAGCGCTCGACAACAACATTCGAAAAACGTTTTGTAATACGACACAGCGCAATTCAAATAAATGATCCTCACACTACGTGGCAAATACCGTTACGCTTGTCGTGTCGTTTCGTGTACGCGATTTTTTCTCCATACGCCAATGTGCGATGTGGTTGTGATTGAGTAGGCGGGTAAGCATTTTGTAGTAACACGTGTCAGCTAACACACAGCCCCCAGCCACCTACTCGCTGATAAGGCCACTTGAACAATGAGCTGGGCGCTTACACATTTTTTTCGCTTTCGATTTTGGCCCCTTTTCTGGTATTTGTCGCCAGCCGCCGCCGCTTGTCGTCAACGTAATGAAAGTGTCATAAATTATGCCACATTTGACGAAAGCGACATGCAATGTCCAACCATACAAGGCACACGCATGCCCGGATATATGTCGGATGTCGGAGGGGAGGTGGCTATGCCCGTGGCAAATATTCATGGTATTAAGTGACCAGTCCAGTTTTTGCGAATGCCTATAGCGGTTAAATATGTGGGTGCAAAGGTTGCACTAACGGCGTATTTTTCCCCTTTTTATTTTGTTCAAACAAATTACCGTTGATTGTGTCGATTTGGCACATAAACGATCACTTTAGGCGTTGATATGTTTGCATGCAGATATTTGCCAATTTACTTTTAAATTATGTCATTAATTGAAATTGTGCATAAATTACATGCCGTTATGATAATTGCTTTTGCCAACAACCGTAATTAAGAAACGGTAAATATGGAAAAAAAGAAATTGTTACTTTAAAGCGAGCAAATTGTGGGAACTAACAAGTTTGACAGCTTAGTTAGAGAGAAGTTGAAACTTTATATTGGAGGGTCTTCCAGGATGTTCGCTAGCTGCTGTGTTGAAGAAATATTTGGAATAGAGGTAGGAGAATGGCTTCTTCTGCTGTTTTGGTGTTGATTTCAGAGAGACTCAAGACTTTTTTCTAAAAATTCTGTACGAAAAGCTCTATATACTCAAATTTGTTCCATCGCCATGAATATGGCATCCAGTTTCGAGTTTTGGTTGCTCTTGCAGCGGCTGGAAATACTACGGAAGTAATTTGAAGAAATGCTGCTGGGTTGAGAAACCTTGGTCGGATAAAAAGCCGTATACGTTCAASTTACGTAGACCCGACTATCGTGCTATCGTTCCAGGTTAGAGTTTTTACGTAGACTGGACTGTTGTGGGATCATTCCAGGTTAGAGTTTTTAGGTATAATGGTCGAGATCTTAAATTGATAACCTACAAAATACAGATTGCGTAGGACTGAAACTGCTTGTTTCCAAGTGACATTCGCTACGCACTATTGGATGTTTAAAAGTACCAAGAAGATCCGAGCCAAATTTTCTTCAGGGATGAAGCCCATTTCTGGCTCAATGGGTATTTAAACAAGCAAAATTGCGGCATTTGRGACCAAGAGCAACCAGAAGAGATTCAAAAACTGTCATTTTATCCAGAAATATCCACGGTTTGGTGTGGGTTTTAGGTTGGTAGAATGATCGGTCCATATTTTTTCAAAAATGTTGTCGATAAGAACGTAACCGTCAATATCGACCGAAATGCGTTATAACAACCGACTATTTGATGCCTGAAATTGAAGCTTCAATAAAACGGTGCCACTTCGCACATATTGCATCAACTAATGGATTTATTGAGAWAACACTTCGGTGAGTAGATAATTTCACTTTTTGGGCTGATCGATTGGCCACTAAGATCGTGTGATATCACTTTGCTAGACATTTTTCTGTGGCGGTATGCGAAATCTTAAGTCTATGCGGACAATCTTGCTTCAATTCAGGCCCCAGTTATTAGTCGAACTGCTCGACCGACTCATAGAACATTGGACTCAACAGATGGATCATTTGAGACGGAGCCGCGGCCAATATTTGAAAGA